TAAAATATATTGATTAATTAGTGATCAAAATATTGAAGCATTTTACTAAAATATAAAAAAATTAGCTTTGTGCAGGAGAACACAGTGTACCTCTCATGGGTGCAAACAGATGAGCATGGCTGCTGTGTGGCTTTGCGTCCTCTTGGCTCTTGTCATAAATGAACATGACATTATTAGACAACATTTCTCTCCCTTACCTGCTCCTGCCATTATAGATGACTTATTCCTGATTTACACACATGACTTTTTTCCTTTCATCGTGGTTTTACAGATGTGGAAGGTGCAGGAAAGAAGATTCAGACTTCAAGCATTCATCTTTCTTTTAACAGACATTTCTGAAGCATGTTAAAAGTGCGTGGAACAGAATAATTATGAAATGGCTGCTCTTGCTGAAATAAAGTAATTGAATATGTAGTAGTACATATTAGAGCTATAACTAGCTGGAGTTTGAGGAATTTGTTGTTATGAAGTAGCTTTTCAACAAGTTCTTGAACCTTTTCTGGCAGCAGTAGGAAATGATACATAAATTAGTGCCTGTTTTCTCAGTTTTGTCATGCTTCCAATTACAGCCTGCAGTATGCATATCGGGTGTCACCAATCCAGTACACTGAGCCTAATGAAAGTGGGTTCTGTTGTCACCTGGCTGTGACTGATAGTTGAAGTGGAGATTGCTTGTCACAGTTGTGTTGATAAATTTGTTTTCGAGTGTTTAGAAGGAACTACCCTGTTAAACAACGGCTGATAGAATTTGAGATTCTTTGACTTGACATTATATTACAATGGAGTGAAATGGCAGTCACTTCTATGTTCTATATTACCTTCAATTTAATACAGTATTCAAGAGCTGAAGGATAGAATCTGCTAGCAGTGAGAGCATTGCTTCTGATTCTCCATTTAGGCAAAAATTCTGTGTGACTTACTAAGTGCAAATAGCGTCAGCATTTATCATTAATGTGTCTTTGTGAAGGTTTCAAGTGTAACCTCAGTTTGAATAAATGAATTGATTGCACTTTTGCATCCAGTTCATTGAAGAAAACGAAAAAGTATGGTTATCAGAGATTTTTCCATGGATTTAAATAAACAAAAAGTGATGTGTGATGTCTGTACCACTGGTCATCCTTTTTGTGTAGGAGAAGTTGGATCTGACTGATGTTACTTGAAAGGATGTTTTGGTTAAAGAGTAAGATGAATAGAGCCTCTTTTTTTATTAAGGTTGTGAAACTGATTTTCAGGCAAGTACAGAAGAATGCTGCTGATTCAGAAAATTCGGCAAATTTTGTTGACAGTCTTAAATGGACTCTAATATATACAGAAAGTCACACACTCTGGCCTTAATGTACTGAAATACCTCTAAAGCTCTGTAACATAACAGTTTAAAGCAAGATATTGCTGTTAAGTATTGATGTTGCTTTTGTTTCCTGGTGGCAAAATAGCAAGTCATCTCAGGTTTTGTCTGTGCTAGGAGGTGATGCAGCCAAGAAGAGCAGATTCACTGAGCAAAATGGTTACTGAAGGCTCATTGTCTGCATCATGTTCTTGTGCTAGGGACTGACTTTCATCACATGCCATGTCATGAATGACTGCTGCTAGCTGGAGCATGTCAGGGATTTCTAAAACTTAAAAGCTCACTACACGGGGATGATCAGGAAAAACCACTTGAAAAGCGTGCACTTGACCAAATTCCAGTGCTAATTCATTCACTGGTATGGTTTAATAAGTTTATGTGGTCAGAATCCTGGTGCTGCGTGAGATGCTCTCTGGGTGTGACAGAAAACTAGAACTGTGTATTAGTCCAATCAGTAGGCTAGTTAAATAGCTGACATTCTTCGCAGCAAAACTAATGGCTTTGTGCCTTCCTGAGGATTTCATGAAACAGTCTGCAAATGTTAAGTCCTGACACAGTAACTTGTCCCATGAATATTTGGCAAACCTTGGTTTCATAGCAAGTTCTGATTGAGCTTAAGGCTTTGTTCTGTAATGCAGTGAAACACTGGGAATGGTTTTCTTGGTATTTGAGCTAAGTAGCTGCAACTTGTCAGCTTTTCTCTTCAGCATAATCTAACTGCATTTGAGAAGAGGAGTTTAAAGAACAGTCATTATAATAATTCTGAAAGGTTCAAAAAAGAGGTGCCAGAAGTGAGTGCAGAAATCAGTCTTTTTGTAGTACTCTTTGAAAAAATCCATAATTTTCGTTTTAGAGGGTGTTACAAAAATTTTGATACGAGATACTGGAAGGCTGCTCTTTTTTTTAGTTTTGTAAATAAGAAAACTTTAGGCAATAGTGCTTTGTCATTCTCATCCTAGTGAGTTCTGAATTGTTAATAGCTGCAATTGACTTCTGGTTGTGGGGTAGGTGCTCCACTTTCAAGCTGCCTGAAAGCTTTCCTTTTACAGTTAATGTATCTGATTTTTGTCACTGAGGGAAAGGTGTAGTAGTGTGGGTGTTACTACTGCTTATCACTAGAGAATCCACATGGGACATGGATGTTACAAGTGCCTCTGTAGGAGTTTGAATGCTTGTTAGTTGCTGGTGAATCCACTCCTCTGTCAAGTGATTTTGTGTAGGGCTCTTACGTGAAGGTTCTAAACCGAGTGGATGCTTTTCACTAGGGCATTGAAATCTTCTGTTGTTTTTATAAAAGGGCAGTCAGATTACAGTCTTATTATGGTTTTGAATTGGAGATAAGGAATTAGTAGATAAAAATCAGTCTGTCATCTCTTGTTATCAGATGTGTTTATGAAGGATTCCGTCCGCAACAGTTTAATTGTATTTTATGTAATTTGACTTAGTAAAATTAGTGTAACATCTGAACATTCTGTCTGATGGGAAAGGTTTAGTAAAATGGGAATGCTGATCTGTCACCGTGTCTCCAGCTCAGTTCAGTCTACTGTTAGAGTAATGCAGCAGTATTTTGTTATAATAGAATTATTTTGGAAATACTATTAGTTCAATACAATTAGGTCAAAAACATGTTCATTATTTAGAAAGTACACTCTTAGAGCAGAGAAACTGTGGGCAACTGTCATCTTACTCCTATCCAGTGTTTGCATGCATGCCTTGTTTTGAAAGACTACTGGGAAAAGCAATCTTCCTTATGTTCTGGGACCATCAGCAGCTGCAACAGTATTATATGTTTGTATCCCTTAACTAGGAAGGATGTGTGTATTCTTACTGTTTTTGTTTTGGCTGTAAAATTGTTACTTCAGAAAGGCATAGAGCACTAGTAAGTGTAATACAACTGTCTTTCTGAATGTGCATGTTAATAATAGATATTTTACTGAAATCAGGCACACAAAAATTTATGTAGTTGGAAAAAAGTGTTTCTTCTGGAAAGTTAATTGGAATTTTGACTCATTTGTCTTGTCGGTGATGAATGATTCCTTTCTTCCCCTTGCAACAAGGCTCTCCTTTGAATGTGTTACCTACAAAAAGTAGAAAAGCAAAGCTATCCCAAGAGACATATGTGATTGGAAAAACAGCAAAAGAAAGAGACTGGGGATGGAAGGAAACCTGAGCAAGTTACCTCAAAACTTACATTATGAAGGAAAATGTTGATATATCAAGAAAACTTTATTCTTGAACTCTACTTCAGAATAAATAAGACCAAACTAAGTATAAATATAGCATAGCACATTATGCTGATATTGTTTAGTGTTTTACTGATTTATACTATCCTTTAAATGAAATGTTCTTTTGCAGCTCATAGCAATTAATGATTAATTAGACTTCTGAGGTTAAAAAGCCTGAAACCCCACTGCTTTGTGCCTGGTAGGCAAACAGTTGCTGCTTTTATTACATAGTGGCAGGCTTTTAGTTTTTCTCTTCTGCCTCATTCAAACAGGAATCTTTCAGCTTCTCCCTTGCCTTATTTGTGCAGCAGAGGTTAGACTCACCTAAGCAAAACATGTGGAACCCCTGATAGATAGGTATACATATATATATTCCTAAATTTGTCCGTGTTAAATTTTTAGGAGATATTTTATGCAACATTGTGCTTATTTCTAGGAAATTATTTGGTTTTGGTGGAAATAGAGACACTGGTTTCATTTCTCTTTGTGCTTCCAGAGGACATACGTAACAATAATGGCAAATTTCTGCAGTCACCTCTGTGCCAGTATGGTAGGGAGTTGCCAAATTGTGTCTCCTTGAGTGAACTTCCATTTTACTTGCTGCATTGTTTCTCATCTGAGAAAAACTAACAAGACAAATAATCCTTTTCTTATTTCTTTTTTTCCCTTTATAACTATAAAGTGTCAGCTGTAGTACAATTCACAAGGCATTAGAACGATATGTTTATTTTTCCCTAAAATTTGAGATGTTTAATGTGCCTTTAACTTTTTGTCATTCAGGATGGTGATGAGTCATCTCCAATTTTAACAAGTTCTGAAATTGTTAAGATTCCAGATCCCCAGATGTCTATGGTAAGCCTTACTCTATGTAAATGCCGTCTGTATTTCAGAATTTTTGCTGAACTTTTCATAAATGGAGGTGAAAGCTTGCCTATATTGCTGTCTTAAGTATTTTAGAATTCCAGTTGAAAGATGCATTTGACCAGTTGAGAAATATCAGTAGGTTTGAACTGTATAATTTTTATTCTTTTTCTGCTGATGCTAGATTAAAATACGAGAATTGATATATTGCTTTTGTTCATCTCCTCCTTTCCATACTTAATGTGCTTGCTTCTGAGGTATAGGAAAGCAGGGAAGGGTGATTGTTGACAAAAGATCAGAGGGTGGGAGTATAAAGTAAGAGGGAGCTGAAGAAGCAAAATGTAGAATTTAGAGGCTGGTGCAGTAACTCTTGGTCACTTCATCTGTTAAAATATTTTCTCCCTACACTCTCTTGTATGTTGTCTTTCATGTAGACAGTGCCTAGGTACAGTTCTAGAAAAGATTACCATTATTGTGGATGCCAATTCAGTGCGACTGGTATTGGCAGCTTTGGGAACCTTAATGTAAGTGGGCTTGTACTGGCAACACTGTTTGAGCACTGTATAATCTAACACTGCAAGAGCAAGTCTGACAAATGCTGAAAACTGCCTTGGCTGCTGAAATTGTGCTCGTTGGCACTGTGGATCCTATTGGGGCTCCTACTGTTGCTAACATGGTATTAACAGTGGGACAAGTTTTTGAGATGTTTTTCTTGCATACAAAGCTTTATGCTGTAAACATCATCCTAAAAAATGTTTATGAAGTGTCTAGCACACTGGAGTGCTGTCAATCATGGATGTGTTGACTGAAACGCTTATATTTTGCAGCAATTCACAAAAGGCAAGATTAGGTTTGTTTATTGTGTGAAGTCTTAAGCTGAAACAAACCCTCAAAATTCCAAACAAGCCTCCACATACTATTAAATGAGTTTTTTGTTGAATGAACAAACAAAAGAAAATTTTGGAAGATGCTGTAGTTTTAGATGGGAATTTTAATTGCCCTGCATTTTTCAAGAGGTTGGTGAGTCTTCACTGGATGGTTTTGTTTCTCTGGGGTTTAAGTATTTATAAATACTGACTTACCCTCTGTGTTCAGGAGAACTTAGTAGAAAGCAAACATCACAAACTTGCTCGAAGTTTAAGAAGTGGACCTTCTGATCATGACCTGAAACCTAATGCAGCTACACGAGATCAGCTTAATGTAAGTCAGTCATATGATTCAATTTTATTCAATATTTATAAATTCAATTTTACTGTGTAGGTTGGTAATATTATATGGTAACAAGTTAAGGAGAATACAGTTAATTTCAGTCAATAGAAATTCATTAATGGTGAAATGTTGTTAAGTGATTCTTACAAATGCTTAGTTAGATAGGTTCAACTTGACAAGGAGCAGAAGGTACTTGCTCACTTTTTTTTAAAACAGTTTGGGGGGGATAAGAATGTATAGATGTGAATGGTAGTCTTAAAGTACCCATGTATGTTTGATTGCACTGAAAGTTCAGTCAAGTGCATAACTGATGAGCATCACCATGATAGCATGAGAACTTTGTGTTCTTGGAAAGCTTTTTTTTCCTGGCTATTTTTGTGTGTTGTCAGTATTGTGCTTTGTCACAATGTACTCTGCTAATTTCTTAATTATGTTCATGTTTTTAGCCTAACTTTCTGTCTGTGTATCTTATAGATCATAGTGAGCTATCCACCAACAAAGCAGTTAACATATGAGGAACAGGATTTGGTTTGGAAATTCAGATACTATCTTACTCATCAGGAAAAGGTATGTTGAATCACAGGATGGTTTGAGTTGGAAGAAACCTTGAATATTGTCTAGTAAGGATCTACAATTATTTGAGAGGACTTCTTAGTGCAAGTGCAACATCTGGCAATCATTCTACAATTTCTTATCCTTGCAGAGGTACAGAGCTTTGGTGTCTTAAAAGCTAGTCAAGATTACTCTATTTTTTCTGTAACGTTGATGATTTAAAAATTAATTACTGTAATTTACACTCTTAAATCATGTGAACTGGCTGTTATTATACTAGTCTTCCTACAAACACTGACTGTTGGCTTAAAATGCCACTTTTGCCAGCTCTGTCTTCAGCCAAAAAAAATATCGAAGAGGAGCATCTTCGTCCCTTTTAGGCAAGGGTTAGCATTACTGGAGTAAGTAGCAGTGCAACAAAAGCCCCAAGTAGATGAAATAACTGAACAGTCCTTCATCAGTGGTCATTTTTTATGTAAGGCTAATTGTGGTAGTGTGGTAGCCGTTGGCATTACACTTTGCTTAGATAACTCAGCTGTGTTTTTTGGGACATATTAAAACAACTCCGTATTGTCACTTACATTAATTGTCACTTATATTAATTTCCCCATGTCTGTGATTATGTAAATACAATCTGAATCTAATTCTACCTTAATGTGAGACATTAATATTTGAAAGAATTTCTTTAGCCTGGCTTTTCACTGGTGAGTTGCCCGCTCCTTTTTAATTTAGGCCTTGACAAAATTCTTAAAATGTGTCAACTGGGATCTACCACAAGAGGCAAAGCAAGCGCTGGAGCTGCTGGGCAAGTGGAAGCCCATGGATGTGGAAGACTCTCTAGAACTTCTGTCATCTCACTTCAGCAACCCAACAGTTCGGCGCTATGCCGTCGCCAGGCTTCAGCAGGCTGATGATGAGGTATTCATTGATTGTGGGTACATGGAAAAGTCAGCTGGTCTCAGGATTTTTTGTCTCATTGAGTACTTGAAATGTTTGCTGCTTCTTAAGGCACTTAAGTGAGTACTAGAGAAAGAAATAAAAAAACCCAAACACTTCACTGTGTTCCTGTTTACTGTAAGCTCCTCGTGGAGCAAAGTCTTCGCATTAAGCGTTACTCTTTGATAATTGTCTTAGCGTGAACAGCCAGTGATAGCTGGTTTTGTTAACCAGGTAAAACAACCATATGGTCTCCCCAGAAACCAGTGATAAATTTTGAACGTTAACCTCCATAAAAGTTCTCTGAACCTGAATGATCTACTACTGCTAAAGAAAACGAGTAGGAAGATATCTGTGGAAATAAGATGTTTCTAATTGTATACCGATTAGTGTATGGTGAGTTGTGATTTATGAGTAGAGCCCACTTAATAGAATCTAATCTCTTAAATTTCAATTATTTATGTATTTTATTTTATTTTGACAGTAAAAGAACACTGCCAAGCTGTGTGTGTACCTCGAGTACTGTATTGAGTTTAGGGACCCTCAATTTAAGAAGGACGTGGAGGCGCTGGAGCAAGACCAGCGAAGGGCACAAAGCTCATAAAAGGACCTGAAAACATGTCATATGAGGAACAGCTGAGGGAGTTGAGTTTGTTTAGCTTTGAGAAGAGGTGGCTCAGGGGTGACCTCATCAGCCTATTCAGTTAAGTGAAAGGAGTTGTAGAAAGGTGGGGGTGAGTCTCTTTTGTCATGCCTGCAGTGAGAGGACTAGAGGGAGCAGTCATAAGCTGAGACAGGGGAGATTCACGTTAGATGTTAAGAAAATTTTATTCACTTTCAGACTGTTCCAGTGCTGGAATAGGTTTCCTAGGGTGGTGGTGGAATCATCATCCCTGGAAGTGTTTTAAAGAGGCGTCTGGATCTGACACTGGAGGATATGGTTTAGGGATTACAGCAGAATGGCAAGCTAATGGTTGGACTACATGATCTTACAGTTCTTCTCCAACCTTGATGATTCTATGATTCTAAGTTTGAATGTCTTACCATAACACTTGAATCCTTGGCAATCAATATAGTTTAAAATAGGAGGTGTAAATATATCAGTTTTTCTTGAGCCTACTTCAGTAGCCAAGGTCATACTGCTTTGACTTTAAAAATTTACCTTTTAGTAAATATTTGAAAGTAATATTTGAAGGAAACAGAGCAAGCTGGGTAGTGGAGGCAAGTTCATTGTAAACACAAGTGATTAAAAATCTGTTCTTCAGTCTAAAATAGGTCAAATATGTGGTTTTTCTTTTTGGTTCCCTAGCTATACAAAGGATTTATACAAACAAAAAAAGTGTCCATAAGAGAGGAGAGGATCTCATTTCTTTGTACCATGGTCCAGATTTTATGCTTGAATTTTCTTCTTGGGAGACCCAAACTGATAGGTTTATTTTGTGAACGTTGGAAACGTGGGGCAGCTCAACTAAAGAGAATTTTAAAGTAGTAATGTTCAATAAATTATCACTTAACTGTCTTTGAGTAACTAAAAATAGTAGCATGATAATTCAGAATCATTTGGGAGTCAAACTGTGTCCAACACCAGTTTTTCTATTATATATTGCTTATTCGGGAGACCTGAGTTTCCATGTTGCTATAGGTCACTGAATCCCAGGTAAGTTTTCCTCTAAATTAGAATTTTGAAAACATACAAAGTTCTAGGCTGACACCTTTAATTCACTTTCCTTTGTTTTCCTTTTTTCTTTTTTTTTCCTTTTTTTTTCCCTCCTTGAGGATTTGCTGATGTACCTGCTACAGTTAGTCCAGGCATTGAAATACGAAAACTTTGATGACATAAAGAATGGACTGGAACCTAGCAAGAGGGACAGTCAAGGTTCAATGTCAGAAACTATGACAACGTCTGGAACTAATGCTGCAGAAATAGAGAGGTAAGAAGCCTAGACTTCCAGGAGAAAGGCATAAGCATGTATCATTTTAAATCATCAAATTCTTTCTTGTTTTTAGGGGCTGTTGCATATTCAACATGTTAATTTATTATCTGAAGCAATGACCTAAAAAAAAAAATTTTACCTGAGTATTCATGTAACGTAATTCCTGATTACAGATAGTTTACAGAGCAAATATTCTTAATCTTGAAGTTGTGGCCTTTGACCGTACTGCACTAAAGAAAGACAGCTTCTGGAGAGCAGGAAAGCACTGCTGTTGCTTCCTTCTGTACTTGCAGAAGTTACGATGTCTTTGATGAAAGTGTATGAGGCTCTGCTCCCACTTTCATCACGGAATACGAATCTAAAAGTCCAATTTAGTCTGAAATCGAAAGAGATTTCATCCTGTTCCTGCAGTGTAGGGATTTTTTTTCCTGGGGAAGCACACTTTTTATTCTTGCAGGAATCTGAAAGAAAAACTGAGATACCTAATTATTAAGTATTAAGCAAAGTGCACATAAGCTTCATTAAGTGAGGTGTCCTGTGAATACTTATTTCAAATTTACAGTATCTTTAGTCTTAAGCTTCTAATTACTTGTATCACTAGGATGTATTTTTTGTGCTGCAGTGACAGTTAGACATTAGTAGAGGTGTTTGATTACTTTTTTGCAGGTAAATTTACTGTCTCATAATTTTGCCTTGCAAATAGTGTGTTTATCTACTCTGTTATGTGTAATTGCTTTCCAGAGATGAGTGCTTGCAGGTGTTGTGTAGTAGCAATTTCATCTTTAGAACAAGTGAAAAAGCCTTCCCATGAAAATGTGGATTAGTTAAATTCCTATCTATATCTGCTTACATTTTTTGGAAGATGAAACAAAATGCAAAGTTTGATGTAAGTAAGTGTCATTCACAGCCATAAACTGTGTAACTATCCAGGCAAAGATTTTTTTTGTTTTCTGGAACTGCAGCTGTGAAAGCTGCTGTTCATGCAGTTTGCTCTGAAACAAGGTTGAGATGCTACCTTCGAAGATACTTCTCTTTTAGTTTTCTGAATTTATTATGCCATGGAAATGAAATTCGTTAGTATTTTCGTGCATGCTCCCTGTCCTCTAAGCAAGAAGTTTGAATAATGCCAATTACATGCTTTCCTTTATGTAGTTCCCAGATTATGAGTCCTATTCCACCTGTTTCCTCTCCACCTCTTACTTCTAAGACAAAGGAACTTGCAGAGAATGATAACCTTGATGTAAGTCACATGATTTAGCTTGGATTTTTGATACTCTTTTAGTGGCCTGGTACCAATTTTAGCTTTAGTTTGTGAATATTTGGATCTTTCTACTGTATTTTGCTGAGTATTTAAAATTTTGGATCTCTCTGTTTTGCTGAATATTTAAAGTTTAAGGTATTTAAAGAATATGAACATAAACTAAATGGTAAGAAAATAGCAATAGCTTGACCGATTTTTTTTTACTGGCCATCTGTTTATGTACCTGGTCACACTGTCCAAAACTGGGGGACTAGGCATTGAATTCTTCATAAAATCAAAGTACTCTTCTTTAAAGGAGAAAATTACTGCAAAGGGTATAACATATAGATCAGACGCTGACAACTGCTTATGATCAAGGTGTTTTAAAGCAGTTTTTTAAATGGGAGACTGTTATTCAAATGTTTTAATATCTGTAATCTGTTCTTCCTGTAGCCATGTTCTTTGGCATGTTATCTTTTATGAACCTAAGTGAGACTCTGAATTTACTTCTGCCAAGGATTGCACTCAGTTTATGCCAAAGGTAGAAGGAATGGGGCAGGAGTGAGGGAAATATAGAAGGTAAAGACAGTTTGAGGGAATCTAATTTTAATCTGATATGAAGAATAATTGGTCTGTGAACTAAATATCCATTCGCTGTTGCAGATCTTCCTACATGAGTCTCAGTACTGCATAGAAAATAGGTCTCAAACTGAGAATATCATTAAAGACACAAATTTCTTGTTAGCTGGAATATTAAGCCTTCAAGAAGCAGCTAAATGCTGTGTATCCTGTACAATTTTTTTTCTTACAGTGTAGAACATAAGATTTTTAGATGCTCTAGATACAAAACAAGGTAGGAAATTCCTTTCAAGATAGAATTTTACAGCAAGTGGTAATTGCATAGGAGGAAAGAGTAACATACTGCAAATAGAAACTTTGCATTAAAGATTTATATCTGGAGAACATCATGCACTTTTGATGTGTTGGTAACTATACCGCTGGAATAGCAGACTCTTTTAACTTGTGTTGTTAGATATGAAACAGTACTAAAACTGAAATTACGTAAATATTAGTTTAGATTAGATTCAGATTTTAGAAGGGAATATATATGTATATCAAAACTGTTTATTTGAATTTTTTTCTGAGGTTTGGGAGGTGCCAAGACCTCTTTATAACTTAATTTTGCTCTTCTTAAATCCCTTCCAGCAAGACCTTTGCACTTTCTTAATATCACGAGCATGCAAAAATTCCACGTTGGCAAACTACTTATACTGGTATGTTGCAAACTGTTTATACTGTATCATTATGTAATTGAAATCAAAGTTATAATGCCCAGAAGTGTGCTCAGCAAAAGATGACCTGTCTTGGGAACTTCAGAATCTCAATTTCTCTTGGGCTGAAGTAGTAGGATTTAAAACAGTATGCATTTCAACAAAATGATTAATGAAAGGATGTTTTTAAAACATGCAAGTATGCTTTGCTGTTAGACAAAGGAAGGCAAGGTTTAGGGCATTAAGTACGGTGTTACAAATAACAGTCCAGCTAAATATTGTAAGTTGTCATTCAAATTGTTTGTGGTGTTAGGGAGGAGATAAAGTTCACCTTCTGCTCTGCTTTTCTGTTTTGCTTGCGCTTACTGTTTTTGACAGTGTTGTCTAGAATATTGATGTTATGCACTTTAGTATTAATCAAGGGTGTATTTTATGAAGGTTCATAAAGCACTAATGTTTTGTTCTAATCCAGTTATTATTTTGTATGAAAATTGTGGTTATGCCATAAGCACTAGCATGATGTCATTGCAGATGTATGCTTTCTTAAGGGAGAACTTTAGTTGTACGTAGTTATCTAGACACTGGAGAGGTAGGATTACTTAGCTAAGGATCTTGTCTCACCTCGGTGGTTTAAATTAGGGTTAAATTAGATGCCTAAACTAGTAATGTGCATGCCTTCTGAGTCAGCATTTGCAAGTAGTAATTGTCTCATTTGAAGAAAGCTGAGATGAGTAGAGCTGTTCTTTGTGAAAGTGTGTATTTATTAATGTATATATATCTGCATATGTGAGACACGTACACACAGTGCTATTTACTTGTATATGCACATGTACTTTAAAAGCAAGAGCTCAGATGCCTTTTACATGGCTTACCAAACTTGCGTCAAAGGATTCTCATTTGATCCGTTGTTGCCACACTAATAATTAAAAATAGTAATACACATGATCACATGTTAATGTGGTATGAACATTAACCAAAATTGTGAATTGGGAATGAAGTGTGGTAGCTGCTGTAAATGTAGCAAACTGTTCCTATAAAATTCTTACAAGGATCCTAAAACCTACACTGAGAGACATTCCATTTATAAATGTCTTTTAAGTTTTATTATTTCAAGGGGTTTTTTTAGTAGCTAGAATGGTAAGATGTTGGAGTGCATGACTTAGGTATGCTTGTGAAGAGTATTTACTTCTGTTGCAGTGGCCAAAGCTTATGTTTGTCTTCAGAAAAATTAAATTTAGATAATTGCAATAATTGCAGGCTGAATTGATGTGAGTTGAAGCCAGGTGCTTGATCTAATCAAATATTCTTCATGAAGATAAGTGTTAGTAGGTTAGTTTATTTCTACCATGTTGATAGAAACTGTTCACTTACATTTCAGCATCAATCTCAGACATTCAGTCTACAGAAATTTCAGACATCCATAACTGAAGTTTTTGAGTTATGACTTAAAAAAATTAAATGCATCAAAACAGTCAAAAAGCTCACCAAACAAGAAACCCCAGACAATTTATTCTTTCTTTCCAGACATCTCAGTTTCTCAGTGACAAAATACAAATGTTGCACCCACTGTTTGGGCTAATGTAGCCATAAATCTTCATGGCTGTTGGTCAGCTTGTTTCATCTACCCAGAGACAGCATGGACCTAAAATAATCAACTGAAAAAGTGCAATAACCCTTGGAAATCAAACCTTCTGCTCAGTCACTTGTCACTGTAAAGCTATCCTATCCCTTAACAACAGCCTCAGAAGTCAGTGCTACTGCTTTTTCTGTCTTCTGTTTGGACATACGAGACATCTATCCAAGTTTGAAGCATTGCTCTTACTCATTGCTTCTAGATAGCTTTGAGAAACTGTCTAGGGCTTTTCACCAAATGAAGATGAAAATGTCATGTTTCAATTCATTACTTCCTTTTTTCCTTGAAGTTTAGTTACACAGTCTTTTGTAAATGTATACTTCTTTTTAGACACATATACATAAAATTTAATTTTGTCATTTTAGTGACGGAATAGTGTGTAAGAGTATTTTAGTGAAGTCCTAGAAGGAATCTTTAGTTGTAGATTTGAGAAAATACACATGGAATATGTTACATTTGCCTTTTTTTAATATAGATAGTGTATTATGAACTTATAAATATGATTAATGAAGTCTGTTCAGCTGCAGATGACAGATCTCTAATCTTGTCCTGCAGTCATTCAGTTGCGAAGAGATTCTGCCCAAGTACACAAAATGGGGTAATTCTAGCTGTCAGTGCAAATTCTGTGTTTTTGTAATGTGTAGAGTTAGTTTTGAATCCAAATGCAGAGTTTGAAAATGGACTGACTTGCTAATTTCGTCCTCTTCTAAATAGTGTTTATTATATGTGATGTTTATTATATGTTTTTACTTTATTATGTATTTTTACACGGTAGTGCTAGGAGATATATTGGCCAGCAAAAAGACTTTGAACGCATAGCTACCTTTTGCTTGTCAGTGCTGCAAATAGAAATAAGCACAAAACCATTTCTAAATACATGCTCAACGTCAAAATAAATTTTCAGTAAAGCTGCCCCAAGTTGTACTGTTTACATCTTGTACCTGATTTTTAATTTTAGAAATGGACTTACTTTTCAACATAAACCTTGCAGTGCTGCTTTAGGAACAATACATTATCTTCCACCATTGCTAGTGGTAAAATAGGGAAGATACAGAGAGAGATTCTCCTTGGTTTTGCAGGTATACTTGAATAGCAAGTTTGCAGCCACATCACATGTTATTTAGAGGGTAGTAGCACAGTGGAAAGCCTACTTTCTCTTGTATACTTGGTTATACTGTTCATGTGATTTGGACCTGTGGCTTGTCCTGTTTGCATGATGACACTTCACTGTAGGTGAAAGACCTTAGAAACTTTGTTAGGCTGTCCTGATTCAAGTGGGAGTTCATGACTATGCAGTTTTGAAGAGTTTGCCTGTTGGTTGAGATAGAGATCTCATTCAAAAATAGACTTCGTTTTTAGTTCCATGTATATAATACAGGGCTACTGTGTTTCACTCAAATTGTGTTGCACTGGATTATGGCGTAATGTGCATTGTTTTTATGCTGCAGGTATGTAATAGTGGAATGTGAAGACCAGGACACTCAGCAGAGGGACCCAAAGACTCATGAAATGTACTTAAATGTGATGAGAAGATTTAGTCAGGCTTTGCTGAAGGTAATGCCTCTAAGGGAATATGCGGTGATTTGGGATAGTCCTTCCTTAAAAAGGCACAGGTGTCTAAGAGGATTATTTTTCGTATTTAGTCATATGAAATATGTATATTTTGTATAGAAATTTTATAAAAGCTGCTGCTTTTGCTTGAATTTTGAATTTGTGGTAAACCAAAGAAACTACCGAAAAGGAAGAGGACAAATACTGAGAACTCTTTTCTACTGTTTTTTTGCTTGCTCCTGTTGGTAACATGCTGGTTCTAAAATCCTGTGCCTTATGCTGGGTCTAAAATCCTCTAAAAGCTTTATGTAATCGGTCTGGTTTATTTAGTTTTTCTTTATTGGAAGCATTTGTCCTTACAGTGCAAATGGAGAGACCAAT